AACCCAATTAAACCCCTATCATAAACTCAAATTTTCCTAATTATTTAATAAAAAAATAAATCAATTAAAAAAATAAGGAAAACTAAATTAATTAAAAAATAAGGAAAAGAAAAGGATAACATAAAATTCAAAACTTCTCCAAATCGGATACTTATCGAAGTTAAGAACCCTAACTTCTTCTTCTCCTTAGTTGTCGAGAGAAATACACTTCGAACTCACCGGCGATCAGACTCGACGTCGTCTCACTCCGCCGTCGTCGGTCTTCTTCATTCCTGCAAGGACTCCGCTGGTCTTCCTCTTCGTAATCGAGGTCTCGGAGATCTCGTGCTCGTAATCGAAGTCTCGGAGATCTCATGCTCACATCACCGTCTCGTTCGCCGGAAATCTAAGCTCCTCCCTTGCCTCTCTGTAACTTTCTTTCAACCAAAAATCAAACTTTTCAGGTTTGTACCCTATCCTTGTTATTTGATTTGCATGTCCCTTTTTGGTTTGATTTGATTTTTTTTAATCATATTTTGTGTGTTAGAAGTTTTGGTTTTATTTTTTGTCAATGACTTAGGTGTCTATGTACAAACGAAGGTATAAAGTGTTGATATGTGTCGGGTAATGATGTTTGATACAACTCGTAATGGCTGTGTTATGTCTCGGGTATCAAAGCTTAATACTTGCATTGTAAATATTGAATTTATGTTTCTATGAAACCAAAGTTTCATACTTAGTTTTTGTCAATGATTTAGGTGTCTATGTACAAACGAAGGTATAAAGTGTTGATATGTGTCGGGTAATGATGTTTGATACAACTCGTAATGGCTGTGTTATGTCTCGGGTATCAAAGCTTAATACTTGCATTGTAAATATTGAATTTATGTTTCTATGAAACCAAAGTTTCATACTTTTGATGTTCTTTAACTCGTAATGGCTATGTTGATATGGTTATATTTGTTTCATTGTTGATAGCTGCTGCATTTGCTATATGAGTATTGATAGTGGTTATATTTGTTTCACTGTTCATAGGGATGTCGATGGATACATTGCCTAAATTCTTGTTCAAAGAGGGAACCGAAACAAAAGTTGATAAGGTAAACAACAGTTGCAGAACTAGTATCCTTGAAGTGGTGAAGGATTCCATTGAAGCGGAGTACAATGACGTCTTGGGTGATCCGGTTTTTGGTCAGGTTGGCCATTGCGGAACACTGCCTTGGTTTTTCGAGGAGAGTGTTTCACAGCTTCGTTTGTAAGCAGCTTCTGACCTCAAAACGTCATGAGTTGTGGTTCCGTTTTGCTCGGAGGCCACTGAGATTTTCTATGCAAGAATTTTATGCAATCACCGGCTTGAAATATAAGGAGGAGCCTGAGTTGGAGACTGATGAGTCTTGGACGAACGATTAAGGGTTTTGGGGCACATTTATAAGGATGAAAAAAAATATATGCTTGCAGCAGATCCGAAATGTGCATCTGAAGACTTGTAATAAGTGGCTCATGTTGATAGGCTGCGGTTGGTGTATGTGTGTGTGATTGCTGGTATGGTTCTGGCAAAAGATGAGAAGGTGTGGATCCCACATAAGTCCATCAGGTTGATGATGGATTTCGAGAAGATGAGGAAGTATCCATGGGGTCTTCACGCCTTCGATATGCTGGGGAGTTCAGTCATCCAAGCTAGGAATAATGTGAAGACGCAGAAAAGTTATGTTATAGATGGATTATCGTTTGCACTTCAGATTTGGTTGATGGAGGCTATTCCAGACATTGGGTGTCTTCTGGGTCGGAAACTCAGTGAAGACGTCACTAGCATGAGATGCCGGAACTGGAAATGATCCGCTAAGGTTTCATATGAGGATATTATTAGCATAAAGTCTGCCTTTGGATCAAATGTAAGTTCTGATTCTTTTTTATTGAATTTCATAGTTGTTAGTGTTTATGTCTTAAACGATTTGTATTTACTTATGTTGTGTAGGGCGTTGTGTTTCCATTCATCTCCTCCACTGTGAACAACGATCTCATTGTTCATGATGACTACGTCCGAACAAGTGAGTTGAACGATGAAAGAGTCGATCTAATCATTGAGCTGTACATGAAGAAGCATGACTGGAGTAAGCATGAATGGGCCTATCAGGAAATTGTACAACCATTTGAGTCTAGTTCTGCGGGAGATGTATCAGAGCAAGAAAAGGTAGGAGAAACAGGTGAGAATGGAGACGCAGAAGAAGTTGAAAGTACTCATGTGTCTGCTAAAAGAAAGGGAAAAAGTGAATTTAAAGATGTTGGTGCTGAGTCCATGAAGAAGAAGCTACGTTACCAAAGATCGACAGATAAATATCACGATATGATGGTGGAAATGAAGTCTTATATTCACGGTCTATTTAGGTCTTCTTTTATTTTATTGGAGGATATGCTAGTTCAGACTATGGAGGATAGGAATACCAGATTTGAGGAGAAGGTCCTATCATTAATAATGACTCGTGGTGATGCACCTGCTGCGGTATTGGGTGTACCTGCTGCCCCTTTCACTGCACCTGCTGTGGCTTTCACTGCACCAGCTGCGGCTTTCACTGCACCAGCTGTGGCTTTCACTGCACCAGCTGCTGCTTTCACTACACCAAAGCCGGCTCCAACTCAGTCTACTGCACCAGCAGCTTCTCGCAAAGAAGCTCCTTCTACCACTGGTGCTCCCACTCTCTCTCGCCGTCGTCCAACGGCTTCTACTCAAACACATGCAGGAGCTCCTTCTACCACTGGTGGTCCTGTAAATGCTGCTAAGACAAGGTCACAGTCAAAGGTAAACAAGAAGTAGGAAGGTTTGTAAGGATGCTTGACTTTTGTTATGTATGTATTCATGCATGGATGATGTTTTCTGTGTTGACAAGGTAACAATCACTATTTTTTGTACTTTATGATGAAATGTTTTATGTGCTATTTGTAATATTCCTAATGTAACAATGTCACGGTCATTATTAATGTCATGCTTTGTGTTTTATATAATCAGGATGTACACTTGTCTGATTCATTTGCCAGCTTGTTTGGCACCTTAGACGACAGATTAGGGATCCAAGAGGATTTGCATAAAACAATGGGTAACCTTACACAAGAGTCAATCGTCGATCCACCAGAAGATTACACCACGCCGATGACCTCATTCCGGCCACAGAAATCGAAGTCCCCATTCTTAGGTGATATTGACTTGCCTGAAATTCGTGCCAAAGACAGTGACTATTCCTTGATTTTTATCCTGGAGGAGAAATGGTCCAAGTTAATTGAATGGACCTTGAATCCCAAGTAAGACAAATTTCACTGTTTTTGTTCATCTTCTAAAGTTTTTCATTATTACTCAAACAAAGCAACTATTGCTTGCTCTTTACAGACCACTGCAGATTGGACCATCCAAGTATGACCTTGCGTTATCTTCTCGTGTAATGGGGCCTGATCAGTGGTTCAAGAACTATGTTAGTCTAACTATTACATCTCAATTCTGATAAAGTTTCTCTCATAAACTAACATCTACCTATTGTGGTTTGCAGGAGATGGACGCCATGATTTATTTGTTTCAGAAAAAGACTTCTTTGTGTCGTTGGAAGCTAGACAGAGTTGTTTTATGACTTGTCTGTTTAGTATGCAACTCACAAAGATGTACAGAAAATTCGTAGGGAACAAAAGGGGTTTCAAAGTGGACGATCATCTACTAAGTTATGGAGTAGGTGAGAAACCATATCATGGAAAGACATGCGCATTATGGTACGTTGATGTAGATCGTCTCTACATCCCGGTGAATTTGAAGGACAGCCACTGGATCTCATTGTGCGTTAATCTTGTGAACCGGACAATTGATGTGTTTGATTGTGGAGGGATAAAGAACCACAAAGTCGTGGAAGCATTCTTAGTCCTCATTCCACGTATTGTCAAGGTTGTCCAGCCCGCAGAAATGAGGAAACACTTCAACGTCACCAAGTACTCGGTATCCTACGTCCATATGCCATGCCTAAACGTGAGTAATAGTGACTGTGGTGCATATGCTTTGAAGTTCATAGAGTGCCACATGCAAGGCTTAGCATTAACTTTAGTGAATGACGACAACATCCAAAAGGCTCGACATAAGATAGCATATGACCTGTGGGAAGCGGCCAATGATGAAGTGTTGCAGTATCGTGTGGCTACATTTAAGCCTCCAGTGCGTGCTCCAGCGAAACTCATAGAAATAGTATGAACTTAGTTTTATTTGCATCTTCTGCGCTTTTAGATTTGGTTTTTCAAGATGTTATACTCTAATTTATATCTGATTTAAATGGTTTCTTAAGCTATTATTGAATTTGTTTGTATTCAAACCCTATACCCTGAAATAGAGGCCTTATATATTTTCGACTATACCCTAAATCACAAGACTCAAACTCTAAAGCCCTAAAATACTGGCCTTGTATATTTTCAACTATACCCTAAATCACATGACTCAAACTCTAAACCCCTAAAATAGTGGTCTTGTATATTTTCGACTATACCCTATATCACATAACTCAAACTATATACCCCAAATCACATGACTCAAACTCTAAACCCTAAATTAGTGAAGCATATGCTAAGTTCGTGTAAAGTATATGCTAAATTCGTGTAAACTATGTGCTAAGTTCGTGTATATGCTATACATATTCGAGTACGAGTAAACTGTATGCTAAACTCGTGTAAAGTATATGCTAAATTCGATCAAAATGTTACCTAAAACCCGACTGAATTTGATCAACAATGAATAAATTTGATCACAATGTTATCTAGAACCCGATTTTATTGGTTTAGAGAGTAACCAATGTCGGTGTAACTCAACCCCGACCCGTAACCGGATCCACATCCCCCCCCCAAACACGAGATTTCCTTTTCATTTGACAAACCAAAAGAAACCAAACACGAAAGAGAAGGAGATTAGGATTATATCGCTGCGAAATCAAAACTATCAGCATCCAACTCAAACATGAGCAGTTCCTCGTAGTCGTCAACTCGTTTCCCTCGATTATCGACACATGGTGTGCCTTCAAGATGTTGGTGTGGTTAGAGCATTAAGACTTACGGTTCGTCGATGCCGGAGAATCTATATTGCCGATTTTATCGATGCGAAGTTGGAGTACATGTAAGTTTCAACTATGATTTGATTGATGAATATTTCATACTTGTTTGATATTGCTTAGTGATCATATTTTTCAGACAAGATTTGAGAATCAAATGTTGTTATTGTTTTGGTTTGTGTTAAAGAAAATCGGAGAATCATCTGTTCAAATGGATAGATGAAGCTCTCCTTGACGAGATAAAGTCAGTAGATGCGAAACAAGATATGGTTGCTCGAAGGCTTGCAAATTTTGAAGAAATTCTTAATTGAAACTGTCAAGTCTGAGCGTGCTATAGCTGAACATGAGATGACACAGAAGCTGAAAGAAGTGGTGAATTTGGAGGTTGCTAGAGTTGAGAGAGAGCTGGCCGAAAAAGTGAATGAGAAGGTCAAGATAGAGTATGTTAGGGTGCAAAACAAGATGAAGAAGAAAGTAAAGCTTGAGACAATGGCCATGGTAGTTGTTGGAGCAATCATTGGGATATGGACTGCTTTTTGACTAGCTTATTGAGTGTAACAACCGCATCATATGCAACTCATTTTGAGCGTCTTTGTTAAGCTCTATATTTGTTTTCAATTTGTTTGCAACTTCATTCAGTTTGCACTCTTGACTGTAACGACTTTTGATAAGCGTATTCATCTCTTTTGATTTTATTTGCAACTTCCTTAAGTTTTCACAAGTGAGTATATCGAATTTTACTACCATTTTTAACACCAGAATTATGTAGAAAGAACAAAGTTGTAACACCAAAATCATGTAGAAAAAACAAAGTTATAACACAAAAACTCAGTAGCAACACACAACTTAATAAGAGAGAAAAAATACCAAAAATTTCATACACCATGGCTAAATAGCTCTGTCACATGTAGCTATGTTATGATTCTCCATGCCACATCGACTCCACTTACGCTTCTTTTTCTGCTGAGATCCTTGCGATGAACGGATCTTGTCTTCAACTGTCTCATACCTACGTTTTTTTTCTCCTACCTGCTCCTCTTCTTGATTCCAGAGACAGCACATCAGCGTTTTGAACATCCTCTGGAACAATCCAACTATCCTCAGGAACACCTATTGGATTGATGGCTTCTTGATAACATGTTCTCCAAGTGGAAGTAGTGTACATGTCATCTGTAAGTGATTGTGGCTCTCGACCTTCTGATAAACCAGCCTTAATGGCATGTTTACATGGAACTTTTAGCAAGTCATATTTCCCACAAGAGCAGGTTCTCATCTCCAAATCAACCATGCAATCAAATGTGTCTCCACGAACCAAAAATTGATTCTCGTTAATTGGCTGGACAAGAAAAGTTTTACCCTTGTCTGTCCTCATATCTATCTTTTTTCGATGGCAATAGTTAATGGTTGTGTATGCTTACTGCTTAATTTTTGGTACGTGTTCGAAAAACCAACGAGTCAGCATTTCTCTGATGCTATCCAACAAAAGAATAACCGGATACTCTCTTGGTGTGCGCAAAGCAGAGTTTATTGATTCAGCTGGCTTTGTGGTCCTGATATCGAACCTGAATCCATGAAACATGCAGTGAGCCCACTTTGTAACATCAGAATTGTTTAAATAGTTCCCTGCCACTGGATTAATATTGCACAAAGCTTGAAACCGCTTCTGAAAATCGACCATTCTATAAGCTTTAAAAGCTTTTGCAACCAATCCAGCCACTCCCTTTCCTCGGTACCCTATGACCACATTATTCAACAAATGGTGAATGAAAATTCCATGTCTAGAGCGAGGATATACATTCTCAAGAGCCTTAACCATCGAGGCATTTTGGTCGGTTACAAACGCTAGTGAAGACTCGTCTGCCACAACAACCTGTAGTTGACCCAAAAACCAATCCCATGAACGATCATTTTCTGAGTCCACAACCGCAAATGCAATATGTTACAAGTTAGAGTTTCCATCTAAAGTTGTAGCAACAAGCAATGTTCCTCTGTATTTGCCCTTCAAGAATGTCCCATCAAGAACACGAACCTTTTGAATGGCTGTGTGAAAACCTCTAACTGATTGTCCAAACGAAATAAAAAGGAATTGGAATCTGCCGTCTACATCTGCCTCATAAGCCGTATGTGTTTCTGTATTAGCTTCCCTCAGCATATGCAAGTATTTCGGAATTTTCTCAAAACTTTTATTTGGAATACCTCTAACCATGTTAATTGCATATTCACAAGCATCCCATGCTAAAGACTTCAATATCTCGCAGCCATAATCTTCCCTCATAATCTGTATGACATCCTTTGTTTTCGGACCTTCTTTCACACCATCATACCTATGCATTATAATCTTCCCAATAGTTTTGGCAGAGCCGTCCGACCTCCATTTTTCTTACTTGACGGAGCACATGTATGATCTGCAACATATTTGTTGATGATGAAATATGTGGAGCCTGATAACCCCACTGCTCGAACACTCCAATTACAGCTGTTGTCTATGCATCTGATATACTAAAGTTTTTGGTCTGACTTCACAACTCTGTAAGCAAAGTTATGTTTCATTGCTGCGGTTTCAAAAGTTGCTTTCAAAGAAAATTTGTTTTCAAACGTTTGATTATTCTCCACAACTTCAGTCAAAGAATATCGAACAGTTTTTCCCCTTGCGTCTTCCTCTCCACCTAAGTCCACCTCATCATCTTTTTCCCAGTTGTTCAAGTTGCATATGTATTCCACATGCTCACTCGATTCAGATGCACTACCAAAATGATCTCGACATACTTTTTTGATTTCTCAACGAGTTCATAAAACGGAAGGTTCACCTCGCTCTCTAATAGGTGAGTTTGATGCCGCCTTATCCACCCCAATGTTGACATCCTCGCCAGTTCCATGGATGGATGAAATAGAGACACATAACCTTCTCGAAGCTTTCCCACGTGTGTATGTTAGAAAGTTTTTGATTTGCCTATCATTCTCAATGATATTGGTGGACAGTCTAAAGTACTGATTAGCTCCATTGGTAAGTAGCTTAACACAACATGTCGACTCCACAACTAGGACTCTTCCTCCCTTTTTTTTTTCAACAACAAATCCCCACCCTTTAAGCTCTTCAAATTTCCAGAACCCACAAGAGGCATAAATATGCATCATCCTGAACAAGAGAATCAAAACTTTTAGGTGTTTCGAGATGATGGATCACGTTAATGGATTGATGAAGAAAGAGGTGGGAGATACCCTGGAAGACCTTTTGATAGAAGAATATGTTAGCTGTGGAGTAGGCAACACAGTTTTTAGCACACGATTTTAGGAACTTTTGATAGAAGAATCTTCACTTAACAAATTTTGGAGAGATTTAAGGAAAGTTTACATTTCGAAATTAGTAGAGCATGAAATCTGAGATCAGTAGAATGTTGAAAACAATTTAGAATATGCAATCATCCTCCCGTAGATTTATGAAGTTTGTTAGATATTGCAATCTTAGTTGATAGACACAAGGTACATAGACAGAATTTGTAATTACGTTTAGGTAGTTAAATGACTAAAGGTAGATCACGAAACCCTAGGTACGGTAGATCATTACTAAACGGCAGACGTTCCATTCTTCCAAGGTAGAATTATAGAATTTCGTTGATATTACAGTCTACCGTCCTCAGACACTTGTATAACTATCAAAGACATCATGTGGGAACCAAAATTCACACCATCGATTTCCGTGAATTAAGAAACTTAGGGAAAACCCTAATTTCCCAGGTCCCGGATATCTGCTAAACCACACACCAAGCAATCAAAAACGAGAATAAAAGTAAGAAAATTAAAAATCGAGAAGTAAAGGGCAAAGAGATTTCTTATTCCGAATCTGCGTAAGAGCGGTACAACGAGTTTAAGCCTTGGCTACAAGAGCTGACGGCGAGTTCCTTAGTTCTATACACCTAAGACTATAACCCTAGTTGAGACGCAGCTCGATAACAAAAATGGAAAATTGCCTAAATGCTCTAAGTTTGTGTTCGAAGAGAGTTCTGAACGTGTCTTGCTTATGTCCTCGGCCTACTTCTTATATACTCCTTCTCTAGGCGGTTTAGTCTTTCCTTTTCCACCATGATTCGTGCTTATCGGAAATCTTCCATTTATCTCGATTTTCCATTTTTCTACGGAAAACTTCTATTTTTCTTTAATCGTGACATTTATCTATTCCTGCGGATAATAGGCAAACCGTCATCGTATTTTTAGGCTGGATTCTATCTAAAGTCGTGAGTGGGCTTTTATCGCGTTTTTGGGTCTTTCGAGCCCTTTTGCGACTTAGCCATTTTTCGACTTTAGATAAGATCGTTTCATGATACGATGACGTTTTTAGGTAAACGTCTCGAGTTAATCGTATGATTTGGCAATGTTCGGTGTCTCGTTTAACTATTGCCGTTTTATATGATTCCCCCGAGGTTTCACTAAACAGGCTCGAGTTTATCGTATAGTTTGAAAATGTTTGGTGTTTCGTTTAACCGTTTGCCGTTTTATACGATTTACTCGAGGTTTTACTAAAAACGTGTCTTTTACGGTTTTTATCGTACAACTCTAATGGTAAGGCAGATTGAGACGAAACGAAGGAGGTTTCGATCACGGTGCAGAGTACGATCGAGTCGAGGAGCTTAGATGGTTGAATTCAGATCGCCCATTGGAGATCTGGACAGATATGCTCAACTCGCCAATGGGAGAGCTGGACAAGAGAGTGCAGCTCGCCCATGGGTGAGCTGGAATTGATGAGTGCAGCTCGCCCATGGGCAATCTGGACTGATGCGCTCAGCTCGCCCATGAGCGAGCTGGTCACATGTGTGTCTTAGCTCGCCCGTTGGCAAGCTGGACGGATGCTCGGCTTTGGTCGTTTCTTGTTTTCTCGATCCGATACCTTTGCGGAGAATGTAAGGAGAAGTATCTGTAGGCGTTGACTTTGATTTCAACAATGGTTTTAACATCTCGGGGAATTTGGATGTTATGGCCATGTTTGTTAACTTGGCCAATAAAAGAATCGCGGACTGTTTTATTCGATTTCCCGACGATTTCCAAGATGACGATTGTCGGGTTTTAAGGAGTTGCTTTGTTCGGAGAGTCCTTAGACACTTTTTCATGTTTAAATCTTTATTCTTAACTTTTGCGGAAAGTTTTGGTTGTTGATTCCATTGTAACCGATTTTGACCCCAACACATCACTTTACTACGGTCGTGTAGACAGTGGATTGTGTTATCTACTACTCGTAGATCAAAAATTGAATTTGTATTGTACTCATATTTACTCAACAAAAATATTTTTCATAAACTTGTCTATTGTTTATGTACATTCTGTATATTTTTCCGTATTTTTCAACTCTCTAAAATAATTGATATGAATTTCTAAAGTAGGCGAAGGGTATGTTAGGTCAAAAATAGACCAAAAAGAGAATAATGGTAGAGGGATAATGTAGTTGTCGATTTGTTCCATATTAGCAATTTTCTCATGTTTTTTTTTAAAATAGGATTTTTTTTGGTTTCTTTCATGTTGTTTATATTATGAGAATGTTTATTTTATAT